GCTGGTGGTTAAGTTCGTCGACGTTCTTGTTGGTTGAGTAGAGGCGAGTGGGCTCCACCCACGCCTCCGCCCCGGGCAGCGGTGGCGGCACAGGGGACGAGCCGCCTCGAGGTGCAGGTACGCTGCCGGCATCGCTCGTGGACGCAGGCGAGGTCTCCACGGCGAAAAAGTCGTTCCGTGTGCAGGCCACCAGCATGCGTTCGCTATCGGGCGAGACGATGCCGCGCCGCAACTCGTTGAGCATGGTCGCGAAATGGGTGTCCCGCTGGCGGTGCACCTGCGTCAGTTCCACACTGACGTGGATGGCCTCTTTCCAAGACTGCGCCTCGAAGCAGAACCGCACTGCTCCACTCCCCTCCCCGTTCCCACCACTCCCTCCGGCCTCCGTCGCCTCTGGTCGTGCCACCTGCCTTCTGGCCACCGGAGGCAGCTGTGTGGTTAAAACAACACGCCACACGCCACACGACCCCAAGTGGTGAGCACCTTGAGTAGGAATGGAGAGAGGAGAGAAGAGAGAGGGAGAGAGAGCGCGCGCGCGCTTGAAAGGGAGAGGCCGCGGCATCCGAGGAGGATGGTGACTGGCCTGCACCTGAAAGAAGTCGCCGCAGCATACGAGCTGTATGCCCCCGAAGGGGCTGTCCTTTCCGCGTACCACGCGAGCGACGTAATCGAGCTTGTCAAAGAGATCGGCGTCGACCATCGATACTTCATCGATGATCAGCACCTTGGCTCGCTGCCACCTATCGCAACCATGGTCGCACGCGTGAACCGATCATATAGGCAACCTGTGGACGAAGGGTGGGCACCTACCTATCCGCGCTTCCGCGTGCCTCCAGCACCTTGTAGGCCAGCTCCACCTTGGTGCCTTCGCCCAGACCCACGCCCTGCATGTGTGTGTCGTGTGTGTCGTGTGTGTCGTGTGAGGCGAGCGCAGTCGGGGGGTTAAGGCTGTGGCACGTGTGGTGGTGTGGGTTGTTGTGTGCGTGTGCGTGTGCGGTCCTGGTGGCGGTGGCAGAGGTTGTACAGCAAACTGGTGGAGGGTAATGCCTCCGATGTTGACTGCAGCCACACCCGTGCTGGCAGTGACGAACGTCGTGGCGGCGGGGAGCATATTGATGAGCTGCTTCAGCACAGTGGACTTGCCCGTTCCCGCGCTGGTGCACACGCCACACACGTCACGGCCCAGTGTGGTGAGTGCACGCACCGTGACAGTCTGGTGGGGGGGAGTACTACCTGCCAGTGAAGAACACGCTCTTGTGCTGGTTGAGAACGAGGTCAAGAAGGCGGCATTGCTCCTGCGGCAGCCACCAAGTCAAGGCGCCGGGGGGGGGCATTGTAAGGAGGCCACAGCAGCTCAACATTGGGTTTGGGAGGCCAGCTGGCTGCTTACCGGAGAGAGCGAGACATCGAGAGGCTCTCGGGCGGCGGGCGTAGGGCTACGCTGGCTGTCCACGTGCGTTGTGAAAGTCGCCGTGGCAGCACTACAGGTGCTGTTGTCTGCCCGCCCCTTTTTCGTCGCCGGCGGCCGGTTGCTCTTGCTCTGCCGCTGCAACCATCGGCTGGACTCTTCTGCCTACATCGCGCCTTATTCCCTCCATTTCTGCTCACCCCGTGAGGGAAGGGGGGGCAGGATCGAGAGGCAAGTACCGGAGATGGAGGAGGAGAAGAAGGCGCTCGTCTTCTCTTCCCTATGTTCTTATTATGAGGCCTGGTCTCGGCAACCTCGTCCACAATGGCTCCTCCATCAGCTCCAACTCTGCCCGAACCACCACCACCACCACCATCATGGTTGGGTCCGTGCTCTACCACGGTGTGCGCAGCAAAGGGTCCCACCTGGTGGTGGTACGCGTGTGCTCTTCGGGCCATCGCAAATGCCTTCTTCCTCTAGAAAAAATAGAAATTTATACCTCCCACCTCGTCCAGGATCGCTGCCACCCGGCCGACTCTGCTCGTGCCACGTACTCAGCGCGGTGTGGTCCATCTTCTCTATTTAAAAGTGGAAAAATAACAATAAAAAAGAAAAAACCAATTAAAAAAAGTAATTAACGAAATGAAACAAAATTCCGTGCGGTGCTGGGATATTTCGCGGCGCCTTTTCCCTGTTGCCGTTTTTCCTTGTGCGGCGGGATTGTGTGTTGCCCCTCTTGCGCGCAAGTGAACGTAAAGATGAGATCCTGCCCACAGCGTCGCCTCCTAACTCTTGGCTTCCCCAGCGTTTCGCGCACCCTTGGCGGTAGAAGCTCAGCAGTGCTGGTGCAGCGCGGCTATGCGTCGTCAGTATGGTCGCACGTGCCCAAGGGTCCTGAGGACCCCATCCTGGGCGTTACGCTGGCCTTCAACAAGGACACCAGCCCCAAGAAGATGAACCTTGGTGTCGGCGCCTACCGGGACGACAACAACAAGCCCTACATTCTGCCCACCGTTCGCCAGGTACCATTTCCTGATTCGCTGGAATCTATGATCATTAGTGCGAAGGACTACACAGTCTTTAACCCTCCAAACCAACTGTTGTAGGCCACTAGCGACCTCCAGAAGCGCCTCGATGAGGGTAAGGAGGACCATGAGTACCTGGGCATCGTGGGCGACCCCAGCTTCAACAAGGCCGCCATCAAGCTTGCCCTCGGCGAAAACTCGCAGCACATCATCGACAAAAAGGTGAGCCCACCCTCCGCCGAGTACTAGCCCTCGCCGATGATGAGAAGTACAAATGGTGGCCCATTATGATTTCAGAAACAACCGCCTAAACGCGCTACTCGGTCCAGGTGGTGACTGTTCAAGCGCTCTCCGGCACCGGTGCGCTGAGGATTGCGGGAGACTTCCTGAACCGTTTCTACACGCATAACAAGCAGATCTTTGTCCCCACCCCGACATGGGCCAACCACATTCCTCTCTTCACCGACGCCGGGCTCGAGGTCAAGTACTACCGCTACTACGACAAGGCCGCCAACGGTCTCGACTGGAAGGGGCTCATCGACGACATCAACAGCGCTCCCAACAAGTACTTACTACTCGACAGCACCACTATTTCTGCTCTCGCCCCCCTCCCTCATCCCCTCACGCCACGCCCTGTTTACAGGTCGATCATCCTTCTGCACGCGTGCGCTCACAACCCGACGGGTCAGGACCCCAAGCTCGACCAGTGGAAGGAACTGGAGAAGCACATCAAGGCAACCTCCCCACTTCTCATCCTTAGCTGACTGCTGCGCATCGTATCGTCCACTGACATGACCAATACCAAACGTCGCGCAGACCAAGGAGCATCTCGTGGTCTTTGACTCAGCCTACCAGGGCTTTGCCAGCGGTGATCCTGAGAAGGATGCTGCGGCTGTCCGCTACTTCGTGGAACAGGGCCACAACATCGTCCTGTGCCAGTCCTTCGCCAAGAACTTTGGTCTCTATGGTACGCAGCCGCGTACCACTCGTCTGCGACCACACCTGGCCGAATCTAGGAAACTTAGCTCACTCACGTATTGCTTACTTAGGCCAGCGCATTGGAGCTGTGTCTTTCCTTACCTCAACTCCCGAGGAAGCTATCAACGTGGAGTCCCAACTGAAGATCCTCGTCAGGCCCATGTACTCCAACCCCCCGAAGCAGGGCGCTAAGATTGTCTCCGCCATTCTCAAGTACACCTTCCCCAGCTCCTTCCTCCACGATGCCTCCTCTGACTCACCTCACCAACCACACCAAGTAACTCTGAGCTCGCCACTGAATGGCGCAAGGAGGTAAAGGGAATGGCCGACCGGATCATCACCATGAGGGATCGCCTTGTACACGGCCTTAAGGAAGCTGGCTCGACTAGGGACTGGACCCACATCACTGACCAGATTGGCATGTTCTGCTTCTCTGGCCTTTCTCCTGAACAGGTTAGTGCCCTGTCTTTCTCTGCCACTCACTCAATGGCCTTGGCTGACTTGTTCATTCCGTGCAGGTGGACAGGCTGGCCAACGAATTCCACATTTACATGACCAAGAATGGCCGCATCTCCATGGCAGGTGTTACCTCCCACAATGTGGACTACCTTGCCAAGGCCATCCATGAGGTCACCAAGCAGTAAGTCGAAGTAGATGCCTGGGCTGTGTCCTACAAATTGAAGAGAGTGCACCGGAAACAAGTAAAACTCGAAAAATCCGTAAAACTCTAGAACGGGTGAGCGATTCGTTTCAGGAATGTAAAATGAGTGAGCGATTCGTTTTTCTAATGACCAACGAAGGCGATGTGGAGAGAAGGAGAAATAATTACGTACCGTCCTCCACGTCCCCGGATTTTGTCCAGGTTCGACCACCGCACCCCCAAGAAGGAGTTTGCCTTTCAAGTCACCGTACTCCCAAAGGCGGCGGACTTGGAATTTTGGCGGCCAACGCCACACGACAAAGATGAGCCGTTTTCTAGCTTGCTTTGTATGCTCATGCACTCGCAATAGAGTCAAAATGCGCCTCAGAGAACGGGCTTCAAGATGTGATAGGAACCAGCCCTCTAGGATGCCTCATTGGGCCGCTAGGACCTCGCCATTCTTAGTTGTAAATCGTCATGTCGCTTTTTTTTTCGACGTCACACAACCGAGACCGCTGTTTTTCTGGCTTGCCTTGATAGCTGGCGGCCTGGTAATTTTCCAGACCAATTAAACCATGGTCTACAAGATGCCGCACGATTCAAGGCGCTACAGTCTGCTGTTCGCCTCACAACTTCTCACCTCATCTTGCTCGAAAATCACTACCAAACAGCTGGAGGCCTGCCAAGCAGATTCCAGACCAATTAGACCATGGGCTACAAGATGCCGCACGGCTCAGGGGATGCATCGAAAACGCGTAACACTCGTTAAACGCGTTTAACTAGTTTAACTAGTAAAACACTGATTAAACTCGTTTAACCACCTGCCCACTCGTCGAACGTGTGGGCCACTCGTGAAACGAGTGGAGAATGTGTGAAACGAGTAGAGAACGTGTGAAACGAGTAAAAACCGCGTGGAACGAGTAAAAACCGCGTGGAACGAGTAAAACCCGCGTGGAACGAGTAAAAAATGTGTAAATAACGAGTAAAACGAGTAAATAACGAGTTAAAGGAGTAAAAAAACGCCTAAAAAAACGTGTAAAATGACCACAAACCACCTGTGGCAACACTGATTACACGCTTTAAACTAGTTAAACGCGTTTAACGAGTGTTACTCGTTTTCGTTGCATCCCCTCAGGGCGCCATGGTGCGGTATTTGCCAACTTCTTCCGCGATGATCACCCCCAATTAAAGCGCATCAGTTTTCTCGCTTGCCTTGACAGCTGGAAGCCTGCTAATAATTTTCCAGACCAATTATACCATGGGCTACAAGATG